AAACGGCTTTTTGCATTAAAAAGAGGATACTTTAATTAATAATTGGTGATATTTCCACAAGGATCCTTCAAGAAATTAATTTTATAGCGAATTTTGAAAATTATCGATGAAAATTGCAACATCGAAAATTTTATCAAAACTTGAAATATTGTTTTCTCAAAAACTAAAAGTTGTTTTTCAAAACGGGTTGGTTCATTGGAAAGAGCAAACTCTTATTAACACATTGGGAAATTTGATATCCGTTCCACCACTACTTAGTTGTAACCATTTTGAATTAAGCCGGATTTTGCCGGAGTTTTTTTATCTCTTTGAACAAATCATATTAATTCTGCAACGTTTCTTTCTTTTTGTACTGGCAGATATATGTCTTTTATAGATGGATCTAACATCACTGTGCGGATTATTTCTACGATAAGCTAAATGACAGAGCTGATGATATCTGTTATATTTCTAACGCAACTTTTAAGCAGGTATATCCAACTATAAGTTCACGATTATAAGTTGAACATTTTAATTGGGTTGGGGAAAGTTTTTTTGAGAAAAATGCATTTGGTTGTGAATTGGTGTTGATTAATTGTACTAATATATCATCAAGATGTACAAAAATAAAGTTCAAACCTTTGATAAATCTTTTTTTTTTTTTGAACGTTTGAGCAGCATTACGTTAAGCTAAAATGGGAATATATAAGAGTTTAATAACACCAGTGGTAACGTACTGATGTACTGATACAAAACATGGACGCTACTAAAAAAAAACGAAAAAGAACTAAAAAAGTTCAGAAGAAGAATACTGCGAAGGATATTTGGACCAGTACAAGAAGAAAATAATTATTTCCTGCTTGCAGATGGCTTGTGGAAATTACTGTAGACTTTACTGCTTGCAAAAGACTAGACACTACTTGGGAAGACTATTGATTGCTTGCAGAGGACTAGATACTGCTTGGGTAGACTGCTTTCTGCTTGCAGAAGACTAGATACTGCTTGGGAAGGCTACTTTCTGCTTGCATATGGCTATTTACTGCTTGCAAAAGACAAGACAACACTTGGGAAGACTATTGATTGCTTGCAGAGGACTAGATACTGCTTGGGTAGATTATTTTCTGCTTGCAGAAAACTAGATACTGCTTGGGAAGGCTACTTTCTGCTTGCATATGTCTATTTACTGCTTGCAGAAAACTAAATATACTCCCTTCCCCGTATTAATCCGTTATATCGACTATTTACAAAGAAAAAAAAAATAGAAAGAAAAAAGGTCAGGTACAAAATTGAAAATTGAAGTGAAATAGGAAATACCATCTAATGGTTTCCCGCTGCAGAACAATTTAATAATCCCAAGGCATCAATTGAGAATTTTCGTGGGAAAGCGATTTCCCGCCTGTCAATTTCGCGAAAATACGAACATCTGCGCTACCGTATGAAGTAATGAAGGAAGTGAACAATAGGAAGCCAACCCAAATTGACTTGTATTATCCTCCTCATGTCGTGTTAAATCAATAATAATAATTTATATGTTAAAACATTATATTAAAAAATTTTAAATTAAAAAACTAATCTATTTTATTAAATAATAGTTACATAATACAAAATAGAAAATAAATCAGGGCGTAGTGAATAATTTTCCCGCATGTTACCAAAGTTGCAATATTAACGTTAAATGGAGCTTTGAACGTATCCGCTTGAACTTGCCATTCGATTTGACCACAAAGCGAGGTAAAGTGCTTATTGCAAACGGTTTGATTATTGCAAGACGAGCACGGTTCGCCATCGAGATAAACTGGTTCGTTCTCGATGTTCCCAGCGGGATAATACGTGCAAACGACATTGTACGTTTTCATTTTCCGTTTTTGGGAGTTAAACGACACCCTTGAGCAACCAACGTATTTCGTGTTCGCCCACAAAACCTGCGTAACAGTCAATAATTCGTTCGGCATAGACGATTTAGTGAACTTTGTAAAAATTGACGTGTTTAATAGATTCGTGTGAAGGAAAAATTGAAAGATACTATGCGCTAAATATCTTTTTCCGGTTTCTTTCTTTGAAATTCTTTCGTCTCCTTGCCATACGATATGGCTGGTTCGGCCTCTTACGGAATTCATGCACTGGTGAGTATCTAATAAACATTGCGACGCCCAACATTCGGAAATAAATTCCAGTTCCTTATCGTATGTAAGGATTTGCATATTGGAGGAACCCATTGGAAGATGTTTCTCTTTTCCGGAAGCTATTTTATTACGGACGATGTTGTGCATTTCGACCAGAAGTTCTCTTTCAGAATCGTTCATGTCATATCTTTGTACCGGAGGGTTACACATTTCTCCGAATCCAAATTTCTGATAACTACAACAGGCGTGGGGCAAATCTCCACATGACATACCACAAAAATGATTTCCAAGTACTGAAAGGCGCACAAAATATATTAAAAGCGTTAATATTTTGTACATTTTAATTTTTTTTTGACTGACTTAAAACGTTAGCTTTGTCAAAAGTGTCTAATAAAAAAATGTCAACCTTGATAACCTAAATTAGGATTCGTTAAAAGCTACCATTTAGGGAAGGAAACGGAAGCTCGGCTACGTAATTTCCGTGACGTCATTCACGCGAATACGTCCCTATTTACACCTGCTAATAGGAAATCCATTAACAGTACTAATGTTAACACTGTCAGACGTAATTACATATTGCGTATAAACCGATCGTGTTGGATCGTTTTAGGTAATTACCTTGTGAATACCAAAGTCGTAAATCTCACATAAATCCTCTTTATTTATATATGCCACCTTGAAGACCCGAAAATAATAGGAATTTTTAAATTTTTTTTGCAATCAGACGAAAGAAGTTTTCTAAAAACGGGTTGCAGGGTGTGAATAAGCCACTTTTCTAGTTTTAAATACATATTTTATTTATTAATAGTTATTAAAATGGCACTCGCTAGATGTCGATAATGTTAGGCTTGCAAATCGTGCAGGGTCATACTGTGCGCAGGATTTCTCCCAACGCGTAAGTCGAATAATTAAAACTTGAATACGATTACTTCAGTAAACTCAAAAACTAGGGAACTACGTAGGATTTTTAAAAAATATTCATTTTTGACGAAATGGTGACGATTTTACAAGAAATATCGTATTTATCGATAAAAAAACGTACATAAAAATGAGAAATATCCATGTTGCAAGTAAAAATGAAACTTGAATATGAAAATAAAACGAAATATGTGAACTTCGAACTTGCAAAAATTATTTAATTTTAATCGGGACCGGTTTCGAAGTTTACAACTTCATCCTCAGCCGAAAATGTCAAAAAGTGAAGCCAACAAGTATAATTTTGAAATGTTGAAAAGTTTGAAATGGTGAAAATTTTAAATCTTATATAATACCCAGAAATGTATCGTTAAATTTATAAAACCTTTGATAAATCTTTTTTTGAACGTTTGAGCAGCATTACGTTAAGCTAAAATGGGAATATATAAGAGTTTAATAAGACCAGTGGTAACGTACTGATACAAAACATGGACGCTACTAAAAAAAACGAAGAAGAACTAAAAAAGTTCAGAAGAAGAATACTGCGAAGGATATTTGGTCCAGTACAAGAAGAAAATAACTACTTCCTGCTTGCAGATGGCTTGTGGAAATTACTGTAGACTTTACTGCTTGCAAAAGACTAGACACTACTTGGAAGACTATTGATTGCTTGCAGAGGACTAGATACTGCTTGGGTAGACTGCTTTCTGCTTGCAGAAGACTAGATACTGCTTGGGAAGGCTACTTTCTGCTTGCATATGGCTATTTACTGCTTGCAAAAGACAAGACAACACTTGAGAAGACTATTGATTGCTTGCAGAGGACTAGATACTGCCTGGGTAGATTACTTTAGTAAACTCAAAAACTAGGGAACTACGTAGGATTATTAAAAAATATTCATTTTTGACGAAATGGTGACGATTTTACAAGAAATATCGTATTTATCGATAAAAAAAACGTACATAAAAATGAGAAATATCCATGTTGCAAGTAAAAATGAAACTTGAATATGAAAATAAAACGAAATATGTGAACTTCGAACTTGCAAAAATTATTTAATTTTAATCGGGACCGGTTTCGAAGTTTACAACTTCATCCTCAGCCGAAAATGTCAAAAAGTGAAGCCAACAAGTATAATTTTTAAATGTTGAAAAGTTTGAAATGGTGAAAATTTTAAATCTTATACAGGGTGTCTCAGCGAGACCGGTCATTAGACGTTTCTGGGGTTCTGGCCAAACAAAAAATTTGAGAATGCAGACTTAAGTATTATCAATTACGTTCTCTTCATCTAAAATATTTTCAGATTTCTAGCACTTCCGGTTATACCGGAAGTCGCCACCTACTTTATTTTTTTAAATGGAACACCCTGTATATTTTTACATATTTGGATTTGTCTGTTTTGAAGGTTTATAAATAACTTTACTTTTTGCAATTTGAACCAGCAATTCTCGAGTTATTCGAATTTTTCTAGAAAAATTTGCTCCAGCGGACATTTGTTCAAAAAATCATAGAACACTCAATTTTTGAGATATCAATTTAGGATTCAGAACATGCTTAAACAACATGATGGAGTATGTTTTGGTGCCGAGAACGGCTGTCTAGATCGTTTGGTCACTTTACTATGATACGTTAACTTTTCGAAATTTGGAAGCACCATAACTTCATTTTTTTAAATGGCACCCCCCATATTTTATTACTTAGTCGTCTTCGGCGTCTCATTTTACATCTTTTATATTCCATATGTCCTATGCCTAACATTAATAGTTTGAGAAATAATTAGGGTTTTTTGAAAAATGCTCACATATCATATGGATATTAACCTAGTGTGCCATGGAAAACAAATGTTTAATGACTTATTGATAAACGTCAAAGTCTAATTTAGGTTGTTTGATGCTTGTGAGTCTAAAACCAGTTAAAATGGATATTAATAACGTAAATAATGTTTATACAAATGAAGAAATCCATAATTTATTTTTTGTGCACGAAAAGTGCGACAAAGTTCTTAGTAGAACTTGCAGAATGTTTAATGAAAATTATCCACATTTATCTCCGATGACAAAAGGTAAATTTAGAGGAATAGAAGCAAATTTTTTGCATTTTGGACGAATTAATCACGTGTTAAACTGACCAAAAAATGTAGTAGATAATGCAACGGAAGAGGTGAATACCTTGGCTTATTTCGAGCCCAGTCCCAACACCTCAATTCGAGCTGCCAAAGAAGATCTGGGAATCATACTACGAACTTTGTCGCGCTTTTCATGCAAAAAAAATAAATTAAGAATTTCTTGATTTGTGTAAATATTACTTTCGTTATTGTTATCGATTTTAACTCGTTTCAGTACTAATATTAAGGGACATAACAGATAATTATTAGCTCACATGCATCAAGTGACGTAAACAAGTGAGTCTTTGACAAGAACTCATTGAGAAGGCTTGTTTTTCATGGCACACTAGGCTAAATATCCATATGATATGTGTGCATTTTTCAAAAAACCCTAATTATCTCCCAAACTATTAATATTAGGTATGGGCCATATGGGATATAAAAGATGTAGAATGAGACACCGAAGACGACTAAAAAATAAAATATGGGGGGTGCCATTTAAAAAAATGAAGTTATGGTACTTCCAAATTTTGAAAAGTTAACGTGCCATAGTAAAGTGATCAAACGTTCTAGACCGCAGTTCTCGGCACCAAAACATACTCCATCATGTTGCTTAAGCATGTTCTCAATCCTAAATTGATATCCCAAAAATTGAGTGTTTTCTGATTTTTTGAACAAATGTCTGCTGGAGCAGATTTTTCTAGAAAAAATCGAATAACTCGAGAACGACCGAATCAAATTGCAAAAAGGAAAGTTATTTATAAACCTTGAAAACAAACAAATCCAAATATGTAAAAATATACAGCATGTTCCATTTAAAAAAATAAAGTTGGTGGCGACTTCCGGTATAACCGGAAGTGCAAGAAATCTGTAAATATTTTAGACGAAGAGATCGTAATTGGTAATACTTAAGTCTAAATTCTCAAATTTTTATTTTCGCCAGAACCCCAGAAACGTCTAATGACCGGTCTCGCTGAGACACCCTGTATAATACCTAAAAAATGTATCGTTAAATTTATAAAAAAAACCAAAATGGAGGAGATATAAAACGTGATGCGTATAATAAAGTTACAATGAAATGATACAAAAATGATGGTTGAATATAAAGAATTTTTCATGAAAACGAAACAAATGAGGCATCAAAAAACAGACGTGACCATCTTGGCGGAGCGAGAAGAAGAGCATATATATATGTCTATCTAATATGACAATGCCCGCTCCCTTATCAGCCTTGACAAAAACAGCATCATTAAGTTTCAGTTTTCGTTTTATTGATTTGATACATACTTGATACAACTTTGTTAATTATTTTAGTTTTGTTATTATTATTTAGGAAATGTATCAAATCACTTTTAATCTCATTGTAACGAGAACAATTTTTAATTATGACATCCAAATCAATCGCTGTATCAATTAGTGCAAATTTGTGACCATCTTGGCTAAATTGTATATTCGTACAGTTCTTAAACTGATCTGTCATGGCTTTCCTGTTTTGTGAAAAATTGTTCTTTTTTGAAATATTCAATCCCTCTTTCTTCTTTAAATTATTGAATTTATTGTTCTTCTTTCTTCTGTCTTTATAACCGAAAATTCTGGCCTCACTTTTTGCCTGTATGAGTATTTCTTCAATTTCTAAATGATGAAACCTAGAGCGTAAAGTTCTTTGAGTGATTGCAAGTTTTTTTAATTTTAATTAGTGTTTCTTCTTCTCGCCCCGCAGAATCTTTTTAATTATTTGATTTTTTAACTTTGGATTAAGGTTATGACATTTGATTTTAGCAAAATTTGGAACAATATTCTCTTTGATGCAACGATTAATGAAATTAACATGATTTTTGATGATTTCTACCTTTCTGATTTGAAAAATGTTGTTTCCAGAAAAACGCGTTTAAAGTTTTCGAATGTAAAAAATTGTATATTTTTTCTACATACATCTAATCAGCGATTCCTACACCATACAGCTGTCCTTCTTGAAGCTTATTTTCATCTTCTGCAGCTTTTCTGTCTGACAGTAGGCTTCTACGAGCTTCTTTAGTCTCAGCACTCAGCGCGAGCAATGCGATTTAAATCCGTTTCATGACAAAAGTCGAAGCACGATCTTCCGGTTGTTAATTTCAGTGCTTGCATTATTTCCATAATGCTTGTAAGACCGTCATTAAAATTGCAAGCAGCTATATCAGACGCAATGGAAACCACTTTCTTGCCACTATGAATAGTTTTTGGTGCGATAGACCATAACGCGGCGTTGTAACTTTCATTGCTGTTTTGCGTATACTCTATAATTGGATTGTGAGTGTACTCATCGATTTCTGACACAGCGTACGCTTTTTGCCAGGAACACCACGAGTCAGCACCAAGTGGACAATTATCATGCTTTGGAGTTTCATCTGTTGAAATTTTATGATACAAAGTAGCCCAGATCTCTTTTTTCATGTCCTTCACGGAATCGCAATTTCTGCGAATAGCCAATCCATAATATAAGGAAAGTTCATCAATTAATTTTCCTGTTAATTTTCCTTTGCCTCCTAATCCGCGGGTGTTTCTTTTTAGATTTCGTAACCGTGTGCCCATTCGTTTCTGAACGTGATCGACGCATTCTTTTTTGGTTACTATTACACTGTCATAGGGCTGAGCGTCCATAATACCTTTGAAGGTTTTGCTGTCTCCGTCTCCTACGTAAAAACAGTACTTCAAATTATGTTTTTCTTCGGATCGTTGAAACATTTCTACAACGGAGTCCACTTCCATTTTTCCTTCAATAGCGTTTTTGAAAAATGATATTTTATGTTTTTTTTTAATTTTTTTGTACAACAAGGTCAAATTACCTGCATATACAATGGATAAAAAATGAAACAAAAAGTGGTTACAGAAATCTTAGAATTTCCGGTGAGGTGTGTTACAAAAATCAATATTTTAGGCAGAAAAACATTCCGCAAATGTTTTCTGTCCGAATCATTCTCATTCTGTCAGAATGAGAATCCATTTCTCATTCTAGACAGTATAAAGAACACTTCTAAGCAAAAAAAAAACCTCCTTAAGTAAAAATAAATAAAATTATGGTTTAAATTGAGTCTTGATTCTATGGAACTAAAAGCACATAAAGTTGTACGTGAATAGGATACATTATTCACACACCATCTTAACATGCTAGAGGGAACTTGGTGTGTCCCGACTGTCCGCAATTTTATTGACAAGATAAATCGTGTTTCCACATCCGATTCGACCGAAAACGACGTCACAAAACAAAAAAAAAAATCGATCGTTACGAATGAAAAGTTGGATCTCGATTTTCGGTAGTGCGAATAGAATTGGAAGCGAAAAAAATCAGCGTCGTTAATCCTCGAAGCAGGACTTCATTTTCTCGTAGAACTTTTTCCCCGAATAAAGAGCACGCTCTCATTGATGTAAAACAAATTGAGACGACGACGAAAATTTTTGAACAAAGAACGGTGGAAAACCGATCATTTCTAAAAAATCGTAAAAAAGAAAAGTGCGAGTAAAGTCGTAACCGTCGACAGTAAAAATAGCTATCAAACATCAAACTTAAGTAAGTGGGTCGTTTTGATTCGCAATAAAGTTAAGCGAATCTTCATTTAAATTTATTGGACTTTCTATTTTGTATGTGTTAATATTATTACTTACCCTGCTTTTCGTACAGCTCCGGTACAATTAAAAGAAGCCGCCGCAGTACCAGTTTGTTTAGCCTTGTAAGGCGAGTTCATGACGCTTTCACCATCATCTTCATCAGAGATGGCCGTAGTCAAAGACATGCGGTCATCATCCGAAATCTATAACAATTTTTAAATATTAAAAAGTTTCATTAACATATGATTATATTGATTATATTGTATGTAAGTATGTATTTCAAACTCGAAAAAAACATAAAAACATATACTATAACCTCATTTATGATTGTTGGAGTATCTAGGATAGTGATGGAACGCATAGTGATTTTGTGAAAAACAGGATACTTGATATTCGGCATCCCCTTCGACCGGATATCCGGTTATCCGGCATATCTATCCGCCCATTATGGTTATATGTTGAAATTGTTAATCTTTCTTTCCATTACTGATGATTAAATAAAATTTTTATTGTACTTTAAAATGGAATTCTTTCTATATTAAACCATCCTCAGAAGGACAATGGTTAAATTACGAGTAACCTATACTCTATATCGGTTCTAAACATTATTTTTTTTAAATTAAATTAAATTAACCTTCTTAAAATCTTAAAAATTTACTCTTGTGTAACGCGTGTTTGATTTTCTATATAATTTTTTATTTAGTGAAATTTTAAGATGTTAAGAAGGTTAATTTAATTTAATTGTAAGAAAATAATGTCTATAACCGATATAAAACTATACTCTTAATTTAACTATTGTCCTTCTGAAGATGGTTTAATATAAACCAAAACCGGCACAGGAAATAAATAAAAAGAATTCCATTTTAAAGTATAATAAAAATTTTATTTAATTATGGTTATAATTTCTGGTGCATTTCTGAATGTTCTCTTAACTCTAAATTAATAATTGGTGATATTTCCACAAGGATCCTTCACGAAATTAATTTTATAGCGAATTTCGAAAATTTCTCATAAACTAAGAGTTATTTTTCAAAACGTGTTTGTTCATTGGAAAGAGGACACTTTTATTAACACTTTGAGAAATTGTCGAACTCATATTCCAAGAAATGGATTTTATACGAATTTTTAAAACTTAATCGGCGAAACTTGAAAAATTCGAAAAAATTGTCGATCATTTCAAAAACTTACTTCTCAAAAACTAAAAGTGATTTTTCAAAACGGCTTTTTGCATTAAAAAGAGGATACTTTAATTAATAATTTCTGATATTTCCACAAGGATCCTTCAAGAAATTAATTTTATAGCGAATTTTGAAAATTATCGATGAAAATTGCAACATCGAACATTTTATTAAAACTTCAAATATTGTTTTCTCAAAAACTAAAAGTTACTTTTCAAAACGGATTGGTTCGTTGTAAAAAGGGCACTTTTATTAGCACTTTGGGAAATTTTCATACTCATATTCCAAGAAGTGGAATTTATACAAATGTTTAAAACTTAATCGGCGAAAATTGCAAAATTCGAAAAAATTATCGTTCATTTCAAAAATTTATTTCTTAAGAACTGAAAGTGATTTTTCAAAACGATTTGTTGCATTAAAAAGAGGATACTTTAATTAATAATTGGTGATATTTTCACAAGGATCCTGCAAGAAATTAATTTTATAGCGAATTTTGAAAGTTATCGATGAAAATTGCAACATCGAAAATTTTATCAAAACTTCAAATATTGTTTTCTCAAAAACTAAAAGTTATTTTTCAAAACGGGTTGGTTCATTGGAAAGAGGACACTTTTATTAACACTTTGGGAAATTTTCATACTCATATTCCAAGAAATGGATTTTATACGAATTTTTAAAACTTAATCGGCGAAAATTGCAAAATTCGAAAAAATTGTCGATCATTTCAAAAATTTATTTCTCAAGAACTAAAAGTGATTTTTCAAAACGGCTTTTTGCATTAAAAAGAGGATACTTTAATTAATAATTGGTGATATTTCCACAAGGATCCTTCAAGAAATTAATTTTATAGCGAATTTTGAAAATTATCGATGAAAATTGCAACATCGAAAATTTTATCAAAACTTCAAATATTGTTTTCTCAAAAACTAAAAGTTATTTTTCAAAACGGGTTGGTTCATTGGAAAGAGGACACTTTTATTAACACTTTGGGAAATTTTCATACTCATATTCCAAGAAATGGATTTTATACGAATTTTTAAAACTTAATCGGCGAAAATTGCAAAATTCGAAAAAATTGTCGATCATTTCAAAAATTTATTTCTCAAGAACTAAAAGTGATTTTTCAAAACGGCTTTTTGCATTAAAAAGAGGATACTTTAATTAATAATTGGTGATATTTCCACAAGGATCCTTCAAGAAATTAATTTTATAGCGAATTTTGAAAATTATCGATGAAAATTGCAACATCGAAAATTTTATCAAAACTTCAAATATTGTTTTCTCAAAAACTAAAAGTTATTTTTCAAAACGGGTTGGTTCATTGGAAAGAGGACACTTTTATTAACACTTTGGGAAATTTTCATACTCATATTCCAAGAAATGGATTTTATACGAATTTTTAAAACTTAATCGGCGAAAATTGCAAAATTCGAAACAAATTTCAAAAATTTATTTCTCAAAAACTAAAAGTGATTTTTCAAAACGGCTTGTTGCATTAAAAATAGGATACTTTAATTAATAATTGGTGATATTTCCACAAGGATCCTTCAAGAAATGAATTTTATAGCGAATTTTGAAAATTATCGATGAAAATTGCAACATCGAAAATTTTATCTAAACTTCAAATATTGTTTTCTCATAAACTAAAAGTTATTTTTCAAAGCGTGTTGGATCATTGGAGAGAGGATACTTTAATTAATAATCGAAAGTGATACCATCGACAGTTCTGGTAGTAATGAATGCGATGATGAATTACAAGCGAAGAGAAAAAAACTAGACGAAACTGCAACAAGAGATTTTATATATCGTATTGGGATTGTTACAATGAGGTTGCTAATGACAAACCTGATATAAATAAAGTTGTATTCAATGAAAAAAGTCCTATTGGGGTTGAACTTGATTATTATCTGCAGTGTCCAACACTTAAAAGAGATACTAATTCCTGTGAAGTCCGGTGGAGTTCTAAGTAATAGGCAAAATTTTAAAAAATGGCCGAATAGGCCGTTCCACCATTAATCTAGGAGTATTTCTAACAGCATTATCCAAAACCATAGGGGAAACTAGAAAAGAAAACGAAAATCGAAAACCAAACTACAAATAGAAGAAGTGAAATATCAAACAAAAAGGAGACAAGTAACGGTCATTGCCAAAAAAGAAGTGACTTTGATATAAACATCCACATGGAAGAGGATATTGAACGTAGAATATTTGACTTCTTAACATGAACGTACGATGTTATCTTTACTTTTCCAAGGATTTAAACAAGTAAGTAGTTGATGTACAAAAAAGGCAAGCACAAATCAATTCAAAAAGGAGCAATGGATCTAGAAAATATTAAAGTAATAACTTGGAATTCCGAGAATATAATCGATATTGCGCTCTTGAACGAGATACTAAAAACCCAAATGAATATAGGAATACCAGGATGTTATGCAAACAAAGAAGATAACCAGGGTGGAGCAATAGCCGTAATTGCATGAAAAGAAATAAAAATGGCTAACGAAATTTGTGGCTCCCCTTTCAAATTTTTGCCAAATAGAAATTTGATAAAAGAGGAATTAAATAAACGGGAAGACGAGAAAACAATGTCTAGTATACAAGATAGGAGGAAACATAAAGGATTTGTAAAAAAAATACGATATGGTCAGTAGGTGTAGGGAGGAAGAAAGATATAGGAATCTGTAATAGATAGAGGTCGCCCTAAAAAAGCCGTTAGAAGGAACAAAGAAAATATTTGTTAGTCTTAAGTCTAGTTAATCACGTTGTCCTCAGTCTGGGATAATATAAAGTATTATTATAACATTGGAATAAATAGTAATACATAAGAAACTAGATATACACATTAGTTAGTAAAACTAATAGCAAGATTAGAAATCATCCAGGAAAAGAACTAACGAGGATCAGAACAAAAGGCAAGCCTATAAGTTATGGAAAAGAAACAGAAAAGAAAATAAAGAGATAGACAGTTATGTAATGCTGTGTATAATTATGTCATAATGAAAACATTGTAACATAATGGAAATAACAACGCAAAGCTATGTGTTAATTATACTGCCAATACTAAGGTTGAGATTAGAATGTAACAAAAATCGAAAACAGATGTCCAATAAGCTTGGTGAATTGGATGGAAAGTATACAATATGTATTAATAAAAGAAATTAATGAATTTGAAAAAGAATAGAATGTATGACTTAAAGAAGGAGACATTCAGTTTGACTGTACATAGAGATATATAATCAATTGATGCTAATTACAAGCTAATTATTAACTAATTGCGTCGCGTCCAGTGTAAGGCGGGAGGAGGTCTTCGTGTTCACCACCATCTTCTATGTTCTGCTAAGCCCCCAGCTATCTTCTCTGTTGACGTTATTTCTATGTCGGTGGATCTCTATGGCTTCTTTTGTCAGGCTTTGGCAATATCTGTTGTCCCTACCCAGCACCTTTGTTTGTTCGAAGTCTATTCGGTGTTCCTCTACATGGCAATGCTCCAATCTTTTCAAGGAGCACGAAAGGGATGTAAGGTTGAAGAAGATCCAGCAGTTGGCGGTTGCGGAACATTACCATGCACATTGCCACTACTGCATGTTTTACGCAGTTTCAGCAAAATATCAAAGAATGTGTTTTAACATAGCAAGATTAAAAAGAATGCGCAAAAACTTCCAGAAAAGCAAAATTGAGTTAGATTAGTTTTGTTTACAAATGTCAATCAACTCTAACAAAAATATTGGGTAATGTTACGATTGGTCAGTTTTCTATTGAAATCCCAATTATAGCCTGAAGGAATGCCGGCTTTCTTTTGAACCCCAATTATAGCGTGAAGAAATGTTAGGATAGATCAATTTTGGGTTATTTTGTGAACTATTTTCTGTAAGGTTAGTTTATGGCTGTTAATCACCCCGGAAAAGAATGTTTTCTGAATTCATTGTAAAGTTTTATTCAGTTTTGTTATACTTTGACGTTTCGTATTTTAAACTTTTGGGGCTGAGTACAAAAGATAATAACTTTCTGGTCCATGTAGTTAAGAG